GTCAGAGCGGTTTGGACTTCAGGCGTTCTGCTGACGAAGCATCTGGGATGGTTCTGGAGTGCAGGGGTGGGAGTTAGCAAGATACACAGGTGAAGCCTGGCCTGAGAGGCCAGAGGCCTGGGCTCTGGTCCCCCCAGCCCCACTGGAACCTGTTTTGTGGCCTTGAAGGAGCATCTCACCGTCTCAAAGGGGAGTTGGATTCCCTGTTGTCTGAGGCCCTTCTGGTTTTGAGGCTGGGTGTTGGTGCCTTTGGCTCACATTACTGTTTCCGTGTTTTCCTAATGCGTCTGTTCCCTGCTCTCCCTTCCTCGCGCCCACGCCCACCCCCTGGACCCGAACCCCTACCCTCTTCTCTTTCTCTGAGCTGGTCTCGGCTGGGCTGCTCTTTTGAAGCAGGGGGTCTTCCGATCCCTGTGACCTCAGGCCATGAAATCCTCTTTACATCTAAGAGGTAACTGGTCCATTGAGTGCAGATTGTCTCCTCAGGTCGGAGCTAGAATGTGAGGCTGAATGGGTGGTAAGGAACGGGACATGCCGCTCACACTCGAGTGTCGCGCACGGGAAACACGCCCTGGGAGCCTGTGTCTGCCAAGCTCATCCTTCCCAAGCCCTGCCTGGAAGCAGCTTCCCCCTGTCCAAACCTCTCCTTAAATACTGTGGACACTGCTCCTCAGTAGACAGTCCCTTCTGGGGTCTAGCCTCTAGTCCTTCCACTGCTCCCTCAGGGGTTCGCTGATGCCCTTGCCCCATCGAGGGCCTGACCTCCTTGTCTGGCTTCCCCATGGGACCCCGGAGGCCTCTCTTCTTCCTGCGCCCCCCCCGCTGCCTCCCTGGTGCCTATCTGAGTCTCTCCCCACGGCCGGTGAGGCTGTCCTCCGGCTCTGCTCTCATCCCTGTGCGTCCCCAAAGCTGGGCATCTAAGGAGAATGGGTTGGGGTAGCAGCAGGAAAGCCCCAGGCCTGACATCTGGAAGGATTTGTGCAGCCCCTGCGGCGGGGAGACAGGACAGGGGGGAAGGAACGGGGAGAGCCGGGGTGCTGGGGACAGTTGGGAGCCGAGGGCTTCTCTCACCGCCCTGGGCTGCAGTCTCTGCAGCAGGGCGCACACAGGATGACCTTCGGCTCTGGGGACTCGGGGTTTCCTTTGTGGTTAGGATTATTTTCCAGGCTGAAAATCAGGATCTTGGCCTTTCTCTTGAGCGTCTCTGGCAAGCAGCAGGAACACAGTCCTCCGCCCCCTCTGGGGGAAAGAGGACAATTTATAGAACTGTTCTGCTGTTCTTAGCCCTCACTGAGACAAAGAATTCATTTCTGTCTCTCACGGTGGCTTCTCCTGCGGATGGTCATAAATTGCCTTCCTGCTCACTCTCTGACCCCTTGATCTTTTTGCTTTTGTGCTCAAAAAATTAGTACTATTTCTCTTAACTCCATATATAACCTTTGGCTCCTTCTCCCCTTTTTCTGGGTGAAGGTGTCCTCAGGGATTACTCCCTCTGCCTCCAGGCGTGCATACCTCTGCCTGGGCGGGGCCCTGTGCCTGAGGACGGAGACAATTCCAGCAGGAGGAAGGTTCGAAAGTCCCTGCTTTGGGGAGCTCCCACGGAGAACATAATCACAGCTAGCATTTCCTGCTCACTGTGTGCCTAGCACTAAGAGCTGCAGAATACTGACCCACTTAATCCTCACACCTCCCCCCACAGTAAGTGCTCCCGGTCCCTGTTTTCAGATGAAGAAACCAAGGACTGGGAGGTTAGGTAAATAAACTGCTGAGGTCAGGCCGAAAGTAAGGGACAGAACCTGGGTGAGGAGCCCCTCCTGTTGGTTTCCGGATCCATGTGCTGTGTTCTCAACAACTCTGCTGTCCCTCTGATGGGGAGAGGGGCTCCCCAACTTGCCCTCAGGAAGTTGCAGACTGAGGGGGCATGTACAGCCCTTGCCCCCAAGGGGCCCCAAGTTTGATAGGGGAGGCAGATATTCTGTCCTGGGGAGGTATGTCTGGTCTGGTGGAAAAGACACAGGCTTTGCCTTTGGGAGCATCCACCAGATACTGGGGACTCAGCCCCAGGATGCCCCCAGTTTGATGAGAGTTATGTGATTAGACTCTAGTAGACTCAGTTAATTTAAGTAGAATTGTGAACATTGGTGCCAGAGAGAGGAGAATGGAGCAAAGGCTGGGGAGTTGCAGGAGGGGACGTGTTGCAAGACGGGCTCTCAGCAACATGGCTGGGGGGTAGGGCAGGCCCCCTCATGGGTGGCAGGCAGGCACCCGTGAAAGGCAGGCTTGTGGGGGCGGTGCCCAGGGAGCAGGGCCTTGCTGAGCTCAGTAGTTCTCAACCCTGGCTGCCCATTAGCATTACCTGGGGAGATGTTTAAAAACACCAGGGCTTGGGGCTTCACCCTAGAACAGTCTTTGGAAGTGAGGCCAAGGCACCGGCGTTTTTAAAAAGCTTCTCAGGAGATGATGCTACAGCTGGTGTTGAGGACTGACTGGAGTTGGGGTCTTCAGCTCCGGAATCGGGGATGTTGAATGGCTTATGTGGAGGGGATTTTGGAGAAGTGTGTTTGCTACGTATGAGCAGAGCTGGTGAGGATTTGAGATTGAAGAGAGGCAGAAGGAAAGCTAAGGGACTGGGCAAGACGGGTGAGGTGACTGCTTTGGCTGTTGAGGAACTGGAGAAATTTGGTTCTTCCGCTGCCAGGGTTTCAAGGTAATAAAGAGATAAGTTTTGATAACCGAGTCCTTCCTCACTCTAAGAATCACCATCAAACCTGAACAGAAGCTGGAAGAAGGTGGGTAAGAAGCTCTAAGCTAAGAATATTCTCTCCCCTCATTTCTGGGCTTTTTCTTCTCAACATTGTCCTAAATAGCTATCACCTGGCCCTCCCTTCTGTGCACCTTTATGCAGGGTGAGAAGGAGAAAAGGCAGTCTCACTGATACTCCAAGAACACCTCTACCTCAGGGCTTTTGCACTGGCTGTTACCACCTACCTGCTCTTTTTTCCCCTCAGATACCTGAATCCCTCAATTCCTTCAGGTCCCTGCGCAAATGGTGCTTTAGCTGAGCGGTTTTCCCTTAATACTGTTTGTCTTTCACAGCATCTCCTGCAACCTGGTACACTTTATATTTTATATATATTTATATAGAGAGAGGCAGTAAAAACTGTCTCTTCCTCCCCTCTAGAATGGAACTCTAGGAAAGAGGGACTTAGCCTTTTTTTTTTTTTTAATTTTTTTCCATTGTTGTATCTCCAAGGCCTAGATACATTGTGAATGTAGCACAAGCAGGCCCTAAAGAAATATCTGTGGAATGCATGATTAATGAATGAGAAATGAAAAGCCCTTATGTGTCTGCGCACTGGTGTGTGGCTCTCCAAACGTATTTGTGATTATATTCCTATTTCTCTGGGTCGGCTATGGCTCTTTACTTTTAAACTGTGCGTTTGCCTGTGCACATGTGTGTTTGAACGTATGAAGGACTCCCGGGCTGTGCACAGTGTGCTTCTGAATATGAGCTCGTGTGTTTCTCTGCCTGTGGATCTGTGTCCTCCTGTTGTGAGCAGATGTGTCTGGACCGTTCAGCTCAGGTTCAGTTCAGGTTCCTCGAAGAGACCGCCTCGCACCAGCAGGGCGCACCAGAGAGCCATGCGCCTGCGTTTCAAGGGCCGAAATTGAGAATTCTTGGCGGGTAGTGTTAGGGACCCAGGAGACCGAGAATCTGTGGAAAGAAGTGGAGACCTCTCTAGACCAAGAGAGTCCCGTAAAGTTATGCAATTCCGCTGCAATGTCTGTGATTTCTCCTCGACGCATCCCCTAGGACGCCGATTCCTGGCACTCCCAGCAACAACGTGAGCAGAAGCATCTGGTTGGGGTTGGGAGGGGGCCTGGTGGCCAAGCTCGGCTCTTAGGAAAGGAGACCCCTACGGAATGCCCTCGTTGCACTCACTGGGAACTCCCTCCCTTCCCAGTTCCCAGATCTCTCAACCCCGAAGGATCTCAAACTCCTCTGTGCTTAGAGATCCTCCCGTGGCTGCCCTCCCCTTGGCCCTTCCGTGGAGCTGGCTACTTTCTCCTCCTGGACGGTACCACCCAGGATGAACAAAGGCAGGAGGCCACTGCGCCCCTTCCCGGCCGGCTGCGGGCTGCGACAGCTGGCCTGGCCCCACTGTGTGCTGGGGGCGGCCCGGGCAGGGGCTCCAGGAGGCTCCGAGGAGCAGCTCCCAGTGCCCAGCTCCGGGTTTTGTAGTTGGGGAGAGGCACACATCGCATCCCCACCCCAGCATTCAGTAGTCCATCGAGAATTCCCAATTTCGAGAATCTAGGGGTTAGATTCTGCATGTGGGATTAACAAGAAAAAAAACCCAGGGAGTTTGTGTTTTTTGACTCCAAGACCCACCACCTGCCCACCGCGTCCCCCCTCCCCCCATACACACACGCAGACACACACATGCACTCACACTGCCTCCCCATCACGGCCATCCCCCGGCCCAGGGGCAGGTCCTCGCCCGGCCGCCCCCACAGCCCGCCGCCCCCTCGGCAGCGCAGGCCCCAAGCTGCGTGTGTGTGACGGCTGGGGCGAGGTGGCCGGTCCCTGTTCCTCCCCCACCCCGGGTCCCGCGCCGCGGGCATCTCAGTCCCGGCGAGGGGTGTGCGTGCGCGCCGGGGGCCTGAGGGCTGGGGGAGGGCTGGGGGAGGAGACGTCAGGAGGGGCGGGGAGGGAGGGGAGGGGAGGGGAGGGCCCGGAGGAGCGGAGAGCGGAAGAGCCCCGGAGAGCGCGAGCTGGGCGAGCAGCAGCACCGGGCGGGAGAGGGCAGGGCCGGGGCGAGGGCGGGACCGCGGGGGCCCGGGAGGCCGGGAGGCCGGGAGGGCGGGGGCCGCGGCTGGGAGCCGAGGGCTCAGGAGAGCGCAGGGCAGGGAAGTGAGTTGGTGCGCGCGGGGGTGCGCGCGTGCGAGTGTGTGTGCGCGTGTGCACGCGCGTGTGCAGGGCCGGGGGCGGGCTCCGGCCCCGCTCCCTCCTCCCGCCCGCGCCCCGCGCTCCGTCGCCAACTCGGAGCCCCGGCGCGGCGGGCGGCGGGCAGCATGCTGAGCCTCCTCGTCTGGATCCTCACTCTCTCCGACACTTTCTCCCAAGGTAAGCCCCGCCGCCTCGCCGGGCAGGCAGCCCGCCCCCCACCCCCACCTCGGGCGCGGGCCCGACTTTCCCGCGGCTGCGCCCAAGTTGTCCCCGGCCGCGAGCGCTGGGGTCGGGCCGTCGCGGGACCCGAGCGCGCACGCAGCGCCCTCCCGAGCCTCGGGCGCCCTCCCTGCCTCTGCCCGCCGAGGCCCAGAGTCTGCACGCCCGGGTCCTGCGGGAGGGGGGGCGGAGGGGGTGATGAGGGCTGGGAGGAAGGTGGGATTTCAGATTTGGGGTGGGAGGTGCGCGGAAAGCTGGGGACCCGGCTCCCGAAGATGCCACGAAGGGAATCCCGACTCCAGCCTAGCCCCTGGTTGGGGGTGGGGGTGGGGCGCTCCAGCCTGTCTGGGCCGCCCCCTCTGGAAACGGGGAGGGCTGCCTGGGGGCCTCTGGTGGGACCCCTGCTCGCGGAGGCGCCGGCTGGGGAGCGGACTTCCACAGGCAGCTTCGGGCCGGCTGGATGTTCAGGGGGGCACTTGTAGGGGGGCTTCACATCCCACTTGGGGGCGGGAAAGTGTGGATGTCGGGGCGTATTTGGAACTGGCAGGGGAGAAGCTGGGAAATGAGGGAGAGATTGAGAGAGGTCAGGACGTTCGTGTATCTTGAGGCTGGGAGTGGGGGGGGGAGCTGGGGAAACAGAGGGCCCAGACTTCAGCCAGCACCGGGCTCTGTGGGTGTGCATTCTGGCCTCCTGAGCCTCACTCTAAGGAAGAGTTAATCCTGCCGAGCTAGCTGCCCCCTTCCAAAAATGGAGCTGACACACAAACACCAAAAAACAGTCATAGACACAGAGACAGACGACTCACCTACTGAGACAGATGTACCCACAAGCATCCCCCAAACGGAGACAGACACATACACACAAAGGCACTGACACCAGGAGGAACACAGATTCCTCCCCCACGTCGGCTTGCGTGTTCATGCACCCAAACACATCAAAACTCACCCAGACACAGTGCATGTATGCGGGCGGGCATTTACAAGGACGCGACACACACACTGAAACCCTGCTACAGAGACCAACCCTCCAGCAAACAAAGAAACTTGAACAGACGTTCATATAGGCAGACACCTATGGAGGTGGGCAGACTACATCATGGAGGAGGTGGTCTCCTTTTGGGTGGAGTGGAATCTGGGTGGAGGGAAGTCCACTTGGGGTAGAACACCCTCAGGCATTGCCCTGTTCTTAGTTCCCTTCCTGAGCTGCTGTGTGTGTGTGTGTGTGTGTGTGTGTGTGTGTGTGTGTGTGTTTAGGGGTGGGGTGTTGTGCTGGACACCTCCTCTCCTTACCAGAACCCTCCCCAGCTCCCAAGGCAAAGCCTGGCTGAGTTGGTGGGGGGCTGGTCTGGATCTTTCTTTCCTGGAAAGTCACCCATGCCCCCCAACACAGGCTTAAGACCTGGGAAGGGCGCGCATCCCCAGTGTGAGCGGGGTGAGAGGCGGTGCTGGGGAAGGAGGCCTGGCCCTGGTGTTGGCAGGCCAAGCAGCCGCCTGGCACAAAGTTGGGACAGAGAACGCAAGTTCTGACTTTGTGAGGCTGGCTGCTGGGGGGTGGGGGGGGGCTGCTGGGTCAGTAGCAGCATGTGTTGGGGGCAAGCTTATGTCTGCCCCTTTCCTGCAGCCCCAGCATGTCAGCAATATGGAACAAAATGAGCTTCAAGGAACAAAAGCTGCAGTTAGCAAACAGGAGAGACATGTGGATTGAATCGGGAACAGAATCAGTCAGAGAGAGAGGAGTGTGCTGTGTGCCTTCCTCCCTTTGGGAAGGGGAAGGGGGAGGGTCGAGGGTTGGGTCAGTCAAGCTCCCACCTCCTTGCCTTCCAGGAGGCTGAAAGCAAGACCGGAGACCCGAAGGAGTGTGCAGAGTATTTGGGTGGGGGAGGGGTGCCAAAGGAAAGGAAGGGGGAAAATGGACAGGGAGGGAAGAGGAAGTCCAGCCGAGGTTCCTGGGAGGGACTGGGGAGCCGACAGGGAGGGAAGGAGCAGGGACCGAGGGAGACTGGGACACTCACAGGGTAGGTGACCTCCCTTGGCCTCCATCCTTAGAAAGAAAGAGTTCCAGGCCAGGGACTGGGGTAGTGGGAGACGAAAAGGGGGAGGGGGTATGGCGGGGGTGGGGGTGGGGGAGGCTGGTGGTGGGGAAAAGGGGAGAAGGTGGCAGAAGGCAGTCAAATTGAGGGGGAGCAGAGAGGAGGGGGGAAGGAGAGATTCAGCCCAGGCAGAGAAATAAAAATCGCATTTTAAAGAATTTCAATGGGCTTCATCAATCTTCATTTTTCACTAAATAATTTTCTGTATCTTATCTAAATGAAAACCATTATCCTTCCCCCCGTTTCCATCATGCGCCGGCTCCTCAGACTGATTGCGCCGAAAATTGAAATATTTATTCATTTTCTGGGAGATTTTCTCGCTCCCCGGTCTCTGGGAGGAGAAATTGAAAAAGAAAGATTATAGCTAATCAGAGCAATGTGGGATGACAGGCTGGCTCGGGGCGGGAGCTGCCTCTGGGGGATGGAGGTGGGGGTAGGAGAAAAATCTGTCCCTCCAGCCCCCAGCGGCCCCCAGGTACCCCTGCCTCGGCATGGCAGGGGGCTGAGGAGCCAAGGGAAGAGCCAAGAGCCTCCTAAATCCCCAGGATTGGACTGCCTGAGTATAGCTCTGTCCTGGCAGAGAACAGGAGTGTGGAAGGATCAGTAGTTGGGATCTGCTCTCCCCTCGCCGATGCACGCGGGCTGCAGATGCCCCACCTGTGTCTGCCCAGCCCAGAGCAGGCCTTGAGGCTGGGGAAGAGGCTGGGGAGACATGGCAGAAATCAGGATGCCAGGTCCCCCTCTGACCTTGATTGGGCTCTACTTCCACTCAGCTAAAGGGAGCCTGTGAACCCCCTGCTCCGTGCCTGGCATTACTCCTGGACCTCAGACAGGCTCGGATCAGAAGGAGGAGATGTGGAGGCCTTTGCTCCCATCTTATGCTGGTTACCAGGCCCCTGGCTTGTGGTCGTCTTGCTCTGCCTGGTTCTCTGGTGGGGCGGGGGCCAGGAAGCCAGCACTGGCCAGCTCTCACCCTTTGCCACGAGAGCCCGGTGCGCTGACCCAAGCTCCTCTGGCCTTTGTACCTTGGGGACCAAGTCTTAATTTCTCTTCCATCCCCTCAGCCTCTGATGCCAGTGCTGCCCACTCGGTGAGTGCCCTTGACTCTGATCGGTTGATTGGTTTGATGCAAGCGCTAGAGTGTGGGAAAGGCAGGGTCTACATCCGAGGCCCCAGGCTAGTTGCTCCCTGGTTACACCCCCTCGGCCACTTGGTAGACATGTCATGGCAGCTTGAGCAAGGTGTGCGCCTTCTCCAGGCCCCACTCTGCTCGCCTGTACAGCGAGGACAGAACTCGCACCTCCCAGGGTTGGGATGGCAAAGCAATGCACTGCGGGCGCCTAGTGCACGGACCTAGTGCACAGGGAGCAGGGCTCAGCAACGCTTGCCATCAGGCCCTGGTGGCTGCACGTGGAGGGGCGGCAGGTGGGTTGTCTGTGTCTGGGTCTCCTCGCAGCTCTTTATGCTTCTCTGTCTTCTCACTCCAGCTGCTCCGATTCTTGTCCTGGCCTTCTGCCTCCTCGGGGACCTCTCCTGGAGAGGCCCGGGTCTCGGGGACCTCTCCTGGAGAGGCCCGGGTCTCAGCAGGCCCAGGAGGGGACACTGAGCAGCCCCTGCGGGCTGGAGATCTCGGAAGCTCTGGGGCTGGGAAGAAAGCAGAGTGGAAGAAGCTGGCAGTCCAGGGAGGATTTGGGGCTCTTGCGGGCAGTGAGGAGGGGACACTAGCCTGAGGTGGCCGCATTTCTGAGGCTGGAAATAACACAGATCATTTGTGGTGCCCTCGTGCTAACTACTTCATGTGCATTATCTAGTTTAATCGGTGCAACAAGCCCCGAGATCAGCTCTGTAATTGCCCCCCTTTCATGGATGGGGAATTGGGTTTTAGACAGGTGAAATATCTTGCTGGTAGTTGTGGGAACTGACTGACCTCAAAGCCTGTACATACACACGCACCCCTCCCCTGCCCTGTCCAGGGACCCCACATGCCCCCAGGGACCTTTGCTGTACTAGGACAGATCTTTCCTGGTCCAGAGTGGAATGGGGACTAGAGAGAAGAGGGAGTGAGCATCCCGTAAAGGTAAACTCATTCCCATTTTAAAAACAATCCTTTATTCTGAAATTCTGTCTTTCCACATTTTTTAGTATCGGATGGTTTTTCTTGGATGGTGTGATGGTGCTCAAAAGTGGCTTTTTTTTTTTTTTAAAGGACTTTACTTGGCAGATAAAAAGGGTTGCAGCCCCGTGTTTGTTTCTAATATTGAACACAGCCTTACAGGTCCATGAACCACACATTTGGGAACTCCACGCAAGGCTGACTCATGGAGGGGGCCAGAATCATATAGAGGCAAGGCGTGAGCACGGGGCAGCCGGTCACTTCCAAGCCAGGCCCTTCCTGGCAGACACAGAGGCTGGGGGCTCAGGCGGCCTGATCCAGTGGGTTTTGAGACGCTATGGCTGGCCAAGCATGGGTGAGGAGCACTTGTGGGAGCGCGTCAAAATTACTTTATATTGAAGTCCTACTGTGTGCTTTTCATATTATCCCTTATTCCTTATAATGGCCTTGTGAAGTAAATCCTTCCCCCTCATTTTATAGATAAGGAAACCAAAGCTGAGTTTAACTTGTTCAAGGCCATAGATCCCAGATTAAAACTCTCTTTGTGCGGCTGCAAAGCCCACACTCTGCCAGGCACTTCCAGGATGGGCGCACGCATGTGGGTCGGGCCTCACTTGGCGCTGAGGCAGCCTCGGAGGGGAGAGTGGTCTTCCTCTCCTCCTCCCCACGCTGGGGGGGCAGGCTGCTCCTGGTGCCTGGCCCTTGTCCATCTCCTTGCCCTGCTTTGATGGCTCTCTCGTTTTATTCAGAGCGGG